AGGGAACCCACCGCAAGGAAAAAATATATCTTCAGTATCTTACTAAGTATATACATTTTTCTATATCTGCATTACTAAACACACAATATGTTATTGAAAGTATATTTTATTTATAACATAAACTGATACATCTTTCTTCCACAAATAAAATGGTCGGTAGTTATTGCAGCAAAGATATATTGTTATCTAAAAACCGAAGAAAAAAGAGGAAGGCAGAAGAAGAGAAATGAACCGCGAAAAGCTGCAAAAATAAGAAAAAGAAAGCATGACAATTCGAAAAATGATATGAAATATATATTAGCTTAGGATTTGATGCTGTGAATTTCTCCCAACCTACTCAAGTTCAAGAGGATTTCGTGTTCGTTTTTCAGTTTTCAGTCAACATTAAGAAAATAATAACAATAATCAGTGTAACTCATTGGCAAGCTACTTTAAAGACATATAGTCTCAATCGAAACCGCAGGTAATGGAAACTTGGTTCACAAAATATAATGACTATCAACGATTATGGAATTTTTTCTTTTGTATCTGCTGGGTAGCATGTTAATTATGGATGCATGTTGACAACTTTGTGGCCTGCATAGGTCCACCGCCATCCCACGTTCACACTTCTTGAGACTATTAGAGTCATCTGTCGTACACTTCTCGGGGTTTTATTACAGTCACCCTGGTGTTCCAGTCATTTAAAGTATTCTCAAAATAATCGCCGGTCGTTTCAATGAATAGTTATTAATATTCTAGCATACTTACTGAAGAAGAAAAAGAAGAAGAGAAGGCGACCTTCAGTAAAACCAAAAGCCTGTCGAAAATATTTCTTTTTTCTTAAATAGTTATGCAATACCTGTAAATTGTTTACTATGATCCAGTGAAATTATGTTTTACATATAATTAAGCTTTCAGGGTTTTTTAAGTATCTACAAATCGATTATTTTGTCCAGTTACTTTGCTGGTCCAATCAGAATTGAGTGTCCAAAAGTTGATAGTCGGAAACTTCTTTCAATTTCTCTCTTGAAATAGTGCCTTAGTACAGTGCCCTCAAGTACTTACTAATACTGTCCTAGGAGGAGTAATGAAACTTTCATGGCTCAGAACAATTAATATCCTGGAGGTCGAAAAGACAACGGAAAACGTCCGTAGCGTTTAAGCTATTTTAGTAAGGTACAGTAATGTCATTGTAATGTGATATAAACGTTCATTTCCGATGAAATTTCTCATTTTTGATACGAAATTGATATGTCTGACCTAATTTTAGTTGCTGAACATGGTGATGTAGCTGTAAACTCTTCCCTAGGAAACAATATTTTATCGATGTGAAGCTTGGAGCTATTTCAGCTAGTCAGCATATAATACGTCCCGTCTATTCAACATAAAGAAAAACTATCAGGTCAGCGTATACACTATATTTTCTAGAGATTGAACGGTGAGATTTAAAAAAATGTCCAGTTTATTTTATAGTACGTCCCGTAGATGGGAAAAAAATATAAAACGAAAAGGAATATCGAGTCAGAATTATCAAATCAAGGGGCCTCAGATATTTGCTGGCCCGATCTATGAGATTACAAAATGTCTCTGTATCCAAACCGTATATCTCAGCATATTTTCGTGTGGTATTGAAATTATTACAAATAACACATGTGTGAAACCCTAATAATCAAATTGTGCTACTACATAGTGTTGATTAAACAAAAGAAAACAATTAAAAGAGACTGTAAGATTTTTTACCCGCAATTTTTTTTCATTGCGGGTCCGGTCTACACAATCAATTCGGTCATTGTCTGGACTAGGCCTTTAGAATAAGAAATTAAGACACAGTGCAGTATGTACTAATATTTCACGGATTAGATTGTAGGATGATAGACCATATTACATGTGTGGGCGGTTAAATGTTTGAAAGAGAGATATATAGATATTTCATAGATAATTATACAATAAAAAATATTGTCACTAATGTTTTGATGGATATATCGTTTGCAATCCTGAATGTTGTTGTTGTTGTTGTTGTTGCTGTTGCTGCTGCTGTTGTTGTTGTTGTTGTTGTTGTTGTTGTTGTTGTTGTTGTTGTTGTATTTTGACTTGGACTCAAGACTCTTGAAAGTGTAGAAATCATTTCTTTCTGGTTCATTCAAGTCAAGATAGATTCGTTCCTTTCTTCTTATGTGAGTATCAGTGTCATGGATAATCTTTTACGGCCTTGTTCACAGCCTTTTCGATGAATTTAAGTGGCTCTAATTCATAGGCTACGCCCTGACTCTTCTAAGCATGTCTGTGAACGATACCCATTAGAAACAAATGTTCAAATTTTGCATGAGAGCATTTAGATCCATTTTAACAGCCTGGGAGACCTTTTTGACTTCGGCGTAAGTGTTCTTTGGTGTAATACCGGCAGCCTTGGTTTGAAACTTAAAAGACTGAGATTCGGTGTCATGAATTGACCAAGATATGTCCTTCTAGAATAAGGCTACGTTTACACATATTCGAATATCATACATATTTTTTTTTTCTTCTTTTTTTTCTTTGTTTATTTTTTTCTTTTCTTTTTCTTTTTATTAATGCAATATGGCCTATATTACATTATCGTTTACTCGAAACCAGAGAAAATGTGGAACGTATACTGATATTTTGAAAAGTAAACTATGGTCATTCGCGATATAGATCTCATATTCCTTAAAAAATCTAAAACATCCGTATGTTTCCCTTATCTAATGAAAATATTCTTAACTATAATACTCACATGTGCTCGACAATACAGTGCTAATTGCTATGGAGTCACCTGATGGAAGTACTATATCCCTATTATGTTTAATGGTAGCGTACGTGATACTCTCCTTACGGCCTATTACACCTGTGCAGCTAATGGCCTTTGAATGGATCCATTGGGATATAATCCTTATCGCTAAAAATAAAAATAATAAATATCATATGAAAACCGTAAATTTTATTTCAAAAGAATTAATCATAAAGTTAAAAAATCGCTTATGTTGAACAGTTTTTATTTGTTTATCTTCTTTTTTTGAAATACATTTTTTTATTTATTATTTCAATTTCTTTAGGTAATCTTTACAATTAGTGTACGAATGCTAAGACCATAAAAAACCTTTGCGTAATTAGATAGAGGAATATTGAACTGAATTATACGAATTTGTTTGTTTCTCTTGTTTGATCTACACTATATTGCGCTATTAGAATTATTTGAGTGGTACGTTGTCACACCTTTAGTGTCTGAGCTCCAGATACAGACGTAAGATTGCACTACATTTCGACAATATTTCTTCAACAAAGAAGCTTAATGCCATCAAACGGCTGATCATTCAGAATTCTTGTCGATTTTGCTTATTTATCATACTGATCACCAAAATATAAAAAAAGAAGGAGAAATAGGAAAAAAAGAAATGGAGAAAGATAGTAATAAGAAAGGAAAAAGAAAGAGAGAAAGAAAGGAAAAAAATGGATTAAAACTTCTGAGAGATCGTTCCAAAGAGTATCAGTATATAGCGATAAGAACTACAACAACAACAACAAAATAACATTACAAGTAATACTAAAGCTGTTTACATTTTCACTACAAAACCCCATATTAATTTTTTAACAGTCCTCAGAAGAAGAAAAAAGTAAATAAAATTTATGAATTCTAGAATGAAAAGCAAATCTTGTGGTTGGAACAAATAAAGTTACAGTCCAAAAAAAGTCTCTACTGAGTGTCTCTTAACACATATACAAAGCTGCGAAATTCAAGTTCGAACGCAATTGCTCTCTCATCTTGCGCACGGAAATCCACGCACAGCTTCAAGAACAATAGCTACGAATAGAATGGTATTATTTTCGGAAATTTGCATTCGTTTACGCCAACAAGCCCGAAATAATTAAATTGAAACGTTTAAACTTTCAGCGTTAAAAGGGAGGATTAATTTTAATAGCAGGTGAAAACCAATCCTTTAAAATATAAATAACTAAATAAATATAAGTGCAATGTACTATATACTTTTCCAATATTTATTGTAGGGAATTATGTTTTTTTTAAAGATTGCTTCAGTAATGCGAACTTCGGCGAATAGAAGCCTTACAAGCATTCTATTCGGGATATTATTGCGCAATAATTATATACTGGTAAAATAATTATATCATCACTTAGGCAAATAATGCGTAGATTTGCATGCGATTCAGATCATATCGTATTTGTTTTATGTTTTAAGGTGTTTGGTTTTGCTTCAGTTTAGTGAGTTGAATTTGCATTCTTTCCTTCCGTTTGTCATTTCTTTTGTGTAATATCGGCCTTTCTCAGGAGCACTTTCTGTCTCTCGAAAATCATTATTTCAAGAAAATAGTCAGCTACTCAGACAGCCATGATAATTAATGCTGTCATAATTTGAAAAGGTCATTGAGAAAGTGTTGCAGAAGATATGTTTATACTCCAGGTTAAATATCGACCGGTACAATTACTCATTGTTCTAACCTTGTGTTTGCTGACTGACAGTTAATCTGACCAGTAGGGTGACTTTGTCCCTTAGACGTCCTGCCTAGAACTATCAAACCTCTTAAGCGTTGAGTGAAAAAACAGTTTTTAGATTTAAGTGTTTTTGGAAGAACTTGAAGCATTTCTTTGGCAAAGGGTGAGTGAGGAGTGAATCAAATCTCGTTTTAAAGACTTTCATTTCATCCGTTATATTGCGACTTGTATTTGTAATAATAATAACAATCTTTTATTAGGAAAAACTATCACATAAGTGTGGTTTTCATAGAATTCCTTTGTCCTGAATTCTAGTTATGCCTGTTTTCGTTTTTCATGTAACTTAGATACTTATATATTATTTTTAATCACAAAATCATTTAATGCAATAATGTAAGTTTGATGGTAGATTAGCCTGTGACTGAACTCAAACCTTCAGGGTTTTCTGGTCGACAGAAACTACAAACTCAAAACATTTTGTTTTTACTTTGCGCAACCTTAATAGTAACGCATGTCTTTGCAAAAACACATCTTAAAAGTGACTTTTATTCCACAGGTCATGGCGGCCTTCAAGCGATGGCAGACGAGATATAAACGATACAAGCTCCAAATTCCGCCTCAAATGCGAAATCGCATCATCCTACACTATGGTTTATTCAAGATAACGTGGGACTGGTTGATCATGATATTTGTGTTATACACAGCCATAGAGGTTCCGTTTGTCGCTGCATTTATCATGACAGAACCGCGAAATCAAAGCGGTGAGTACCGCTGTAGAGTTATATGAATAGCATAGCAATTATTATCAGCAAGCAACTTTTTTTTAAATTTCTTTGATTAATTTTCTATCCATTTTTCTTTTGACAGTTTTGTTTTGATATTGTGTATATAATTTATTCATAAGTGATATAGTCTTTAATTGAAAAAAAGAAGGTAGCGTATGTTTGAATAAGGTTATTGTCACAATCACATTGACTTGTCGTTCTGTCGAGTCAGTGTAAATGACTATTTCGGAAGAGCTCTGCTCTTTCTTGTTGATTTTTGTAAATTTATATTTTGTATAATACCTTCCAAAGCGAGCGAAGTATCTCAGAAAAACAGCAACTTTTAGATTCAGTTATCAGTAACATTTATACAACAAAAAGAGTCATTTTATTTAAGAAGCTCACATTTAAGAAGATGTAGTATATAGCTTTCAATAGTTTCGAGGGGATTATTTTATTCCCATACTCACCTGTGTTTTTTAAGTTTCCGTCCTTAATTCATTTTAATTCATTTTAATTTTTAGGTTTAAAAACCTTCCTATTAATTAATGTTTTTTTATGTTTTCTGAAATTAGACAGTTCTTCCTCGCATATCATTTTTATTTATAGTCTTCCTACTTTAAATTATGATATTAAAAGAAATCAATTTCTCAGTTACGTTTTCGACAAAATCAGAGTATATATCCTCATCTTTCGCTCGCCTAAAGCTGGAAAATACATGAAGAAAGAGCAAACATACGACGATTAATCACACGAGTAATAACGTAAAAAGGTGAATAATCGTGACACAGTTTCTTCAGAGACAATGTTCTTAGCTATTATTTACTACCCAAACACCTGTTAGCTACAAGTTACTCGCGTAAAGTAGGATCTCTCGTCCTTCTTCCATATATGGATGTGCATTTACAGGGTCACTGACTTACCTATAGAAGCCCTCTTATACATAGAAGGTTCATTAATTATGTAT